CTTAACGAGTCTTTAAATCTCCTGAGGAATGCAAACTTCTTTTTTAGGTCATTTCGGTTTCCAGATTATCATGATCACCCTGCTACTAGTAACATGTAATCTAGAACAGCCTACTGCTATCAGTTGATAGCAGTAGAGTTCTGTTGACCAGCCTCACACCTTCTCTACCTTCAACAAGCTGGTACAGATGTAAATCTGTATTATATTCTTTTCTGTCTAGGATGAATAATGCTGGATCTTCTTGACTTCACTTAGGGCGTTTGAATTGTGCCTCATTGTAAAGGGCTATGCAACTCCTTTTTTTTATCTTCTAATGAGGGTACAACTCTAAGTTTTTCTTTTCACCATCCCAAAGAAACAGGACGATCTATTGTTAGTAACTAAAAAAACTCTTCTAGAGCTTGTAATCAGATATCATTTTTTTTAGTCTTAAAAAAAATGATTTTTTTCCAGAATTATACTTTTTAAACTATTCAACAAGTGTTTATCTTGTTTTACTGTCAGCTTGAAAATAGTACCTGTGGTTCCTTTTTTTAAAAAAAAAAATTCTGAAAAACGCATAGGGACCTCTAACTATCTTAGTATCAATTTTCTCTCTATTATTAGCAAGCTTGAGTCTATAACTAACAAACTTCTATCTGATCTTGAGTCTAAGAATCAACTCTCTCTATATATATTAATATCAATTTTAACGCTTTTCTTTGTTTAAAGAAACAACAAAGTTTCAAACTTTCTATTAATTGTTAATTATAATTGTAGAGTATAATTTTAGACTTACAATTTGTAAGTCAAAAATTGCACTACTTGCTGACAACACATCTATATAATCCAGTCATAACAAAAAGACATCACTACTTAATTACTTATTGTAAGATTGTTGTAAGAATGCTGTCAATATAAGAATTTCAACAATATTGTAATAACTGTTAGCTGTAAACAAATAAGTCCTGCTTGGGTTAAAATTCACCAGTAACTGCATACCTCATATTGCAACAGTATAGAGATTAGCTAACTTTAGTCTATATGTATATTAGTTTATAGTAAACAAAAAAATGGCAACTATAAACTATTTTTGGTTGACCTCATGTCTACACAAAATTTTCAACACAAAGATTTCACGATTTAATTATTTACAGTTTAAGTAAAAACACGTGCTTTTATTAGGAAAAAAAAAGTTGATAATAGTGGCATTGAATATAAATAGTAGTAATAGAAAAAAAGAAATTAAAACTGTTTAATCAGTATTTACATATTAATTTAAAAGTTTTACTTTAACTATTAAAAAAACTTTTCTATAAATATTTAAACTATTATCTACATATTAATAAAAAAAGTTGTAATTTCAGAAAACTAAACGCAATATAACTATATTAGTATTTAACTATATAAATATGATGTAGAAATATTATCATATATAAACATATATTAATAGCGGGGGCCATTAGTACAATAACGGGACCCTTTCGATTAAAATAATTTTCATAATTAACAAGGTGATGATCATTTGAACAATTATTACGGACGTTTTTTGAATGAGCATTTTGGCTATTATTACAATATTTCATTACCGGTACTTCGGTATTATCAGTATTTTCAATATCGGTATTACTAATAATTGAAGACCTTGTAATGAAAACCTCAAATGTCACAAACAATTTTTTTTTCAGAAGTGCATTTAAACTATTGATGTTTTTCAAAAGTACCTTTTTTCTGACAACCGATTCGAAGGACGCAATTTTTAAAGAAACATAAAATTGACTTATATATAGACAACCAAAAATTAACATAAATCCAATTCGCATAGAAGTAGACATTTGAGGTTTTCATTCCAATGTCTTCAATTTCGATAATGGTAAAACCGGTTTGATACTTAAAAATAGGAATAAAAATAGGATAATTCAATTAACATCTCAAATAAATTTGAAAAATTTAAAGTATTTAAATATGGTATATGTTTTGGTTTCCGGACGTGTCCCATATGGTAATTCCATTGAGACATGGTTTGCATTTTAAAAAATACCAAAATTTAAAGTTTTGTTTCTGTTAGTGATGGTAATAACTGTTTTGAAGTTGCTCAAAAAACTGGTTTAGTCAGAAACATTCAAAAAGAGCAAGCAGGTGAATCTTGTGATGGATAGGTTATATTTAAGGAATTTAAAACTTTTTAATCGTTTTTACAGATCCACTCTTTTCTATTGATTTTCCTATATTTTATGCAAATAAAATGACTGGCGCTAACAAAGTTTACATTGTCAGATTTAAATATAAAGTGACACTTAATATTTATATCTGAAGTGTTTTACACTTGAACTGTTTGCAAATAAATGCAAAAATGGCTTTTCTGCTATACATGAACTGCATTCATAAATTAATGATAATTTTGACTTGATTTTACCATTTTAAGTTTGTAATATCAACGGTAGTATCATAATATACATAATAATAACTTACAATACTTATACTTTTAAGTTTTATAACTGAAGCTTAAATGTAAACGTTTATATCAATAAATATTTTTAAAACTTTTTAAATTTTTTTAAAATTAACTCCATCAGCTTCACATTAAAGCTGATCGAGTCAATTTAATCAGCTTGATAGCTGATAGTAAAAGAGAATCCCCCATAAATATATTATATAAAAAAAATATGTAGGGAATTATTCAATGAAAATCTAAATTAGTTGCATAATTTAAACATGCATGTAAGATTTTTTAATCAAATTTTCCAAAAGTTTTATCAAAAGAAGGTTTTATCCATAAAAATATTACGTACGAAATCAATCTTACTGTTATTATATTTGATGCCCCAGTTAGCGCAATTTTATAGTGTATTAAGGGAAAAAATATTTAAAACTGTTGTGAGCGTTGTGTTCAGAAACGAGAGTAGTCTGGCAAGGAAATACTCTCACATATTTTATAAATTTTAAGGACTAATGTCATTAAAAGTAGTGTTTAAACTTAAAACTTGAAAGGGTTCAAAAAACTTTTATTAATAACTTTTAGTACATATTCTTTGTTAATATCATAAAATTATAATTAAAAAGTATATAAAATAAGCGTATTATTAACTAAAAAATGAAAAATGAAAGTCTTTTAGTTAAATTATATATATTTTTGAGTATATTAAATGTTATTTTTAAAGACGGTAGGCAAAAGATTTTGGATTTCTGAAAAGAATTGAAATAAAATAACATTTACAATTTGATATGCTTCTCATTGATATGTTCATCTTACTTTCTTCCCACCCCCACTCCCCTCTTTCCTCCTTCTCCGCCTTTTCGTTTTTATCGATTTATTCGAGTGACTGCGTTTTGTTTATGATCCATCGAGTTAAAGTCGCAAGTAATCGAGACGCAATCGTGAGCATACTGATTTAAAATTTTGTTTGAGTTTTGTTTATAGACATCCTGGTGTGTATCAAGCTTGACTTGATTAGGTTTTACAAAATGTCAGAAGATACTGACCAAGTGAGCATATTTAATAATTCTCTTTATTTTTCGTATTTATTTAAATGAAATAATGTATTTAAAACAACTCTTACAATTTATACGAATATATGCAAATTCAATCAATCATTTATTTCACATTATAGAATAAAATTAATACAAAGCTAGGATCAGTCACAAACAATTATGTAACTGACAAAAACGTGACAACTTGCAAACATTAACTGTAAATTTGAAAAAGTATATAAATTAAATAGTAAATTAATAATAATAATAAAATTAATAGTAATAATAGTTATTGTAATAGTAACACTAGTTATAACAATAATATTTATAATTATAATAATAACAGAAGTAATTTACAACTGTAACAATAAAAATAATAATGAAAATTATAGATATAATAATAATAATACTTAAACAATAGCAATAAGGGCATACATATATATGTTTTTATATATATATATATATATATATATATATATATATATATATATATATATATATATATATAAACACATATATACGTATACACACACACACACACACACACATATATATATATATATATATATATATATATATATATATATATATATACACATATACACACGTATACATACATACACACATACATACACACATATATACATATATACACACATATACGCATATAAACATACATACATATACATACACACATATATACATATACAAACATACACATATATACAATACATACATATAACCAATCACACATATACATGTTTGTAAATAAACCCATATAAATAAGTAAACACATTGATACACTCATACATACACATAATGCACATTCAGGTTCATATAAATATGCCCATATATGGAACAGAAGGGTAAGGAGTAAAAGAAAAGATAACTGAATAAGTTTTAATAAGGGAAAACTAAAAGCTGTTATATTTTAGAAAAATAGACAGAATTAATTGAAGATAGTGATAATGGGGTGTATACGAATACTGCACCGGACCATACCAGAGTGTAAAAAACAATCTTAGTAGAGCGAAATATGCATAACTTACATTCATAATATATAAATGCAAAAAAAATTTACACACCCACAAAAAAAAAAAAATTTGAATAATTTAAATTTTTATAACAATTTTCATTAAAAATTTAATAAAAAGAAATTGTGTACACACAAGTAAAAATATGTATTTTAGTCAAAATTTTATCGCATTTGTGTATTTCATTCACACACGCGTACCCCTATCACATATTAATGTTTTTGATTTTTTTGAAAAAAAAATTAATTTTTATACATATGTGTTTTAATTTAAGCAGAGCGGTAGGCTTTTTTACAAGATTAATAAGTTATTCTTTTAGACTGTTTGCCCTAACCAAAAGACCTTTGCACCTGCATGTACACTCCACTGCGCCTGTACCTATTTTAGTAAGTCGATGTATTGACACTCCGTTGCGGCTGTCCCTATTTTATTCAGTCGATGTATGCATGCTCTACTGCACCTGTCCCTATTTTAGTCAGTGGAAGTATGAATCACAGCCCTGTTCCTATTTTTAATTTATTTTTTTTTTTTTTTTTTTTTTTTTCCTAATTTTTTATTGTATATATGTATCACAAATATAACTTATGTATGTTTCGCTCTACCAAAATTGTTTTTTATACTTCGGTGTTTGTCCGGTGTGGTCCGGTGTAGTATTTGTATACACCGGTGATAATGTTGTGTTAGAACTTTATTGAGTATTTTTATGAAGGATAATTTTTTTGATATTGGCAATAAAAGCATTTCTAGTAATGTTTGGGAGATTTATTTTTATTGAAAATGGCAGAGAGTTCCAAGAGTGAATTAATTGATATTTATTAGATTGAATACCATATTTGCTAGTTTTTTTTTAAAGGTAGAGCTAGATTATAACAAGTTATCAATTTAAGATTGTAATTATGAATATCACTTGTGAATTTAAAATAGTTATTAAAAGCAATAGGCATGGTATTATGAATGATATCCCACACAAAAATACAGTTTAACAAGTAGATGAGTTCATCTAACTTTAAGTGCTCGAAATAACGGCCAATCAATGATCAGCAATTTCAGGAAAATTTTGAAAAATTCAAGGGAAAATAACCTGTTTTTGTGAAAAAATTACATTTAATGGACAAGCTTTGAAAAACTATTTTAAGTGCTGAACTTCAAAATTATTGATAAACTATACAATAAGTCAGAATTGAAATTGCTTGGCTTGAAATGAACTATTTTTATAGATTTATTTTGAAGTTTCACAAGATTTTTAATTTGAGTAAATGAACTTTGCCCCCATATTTGGCAGCCATACTTTAGGTGTGAATTAAATATAGCATGCTAAATATTTACCAATGTTTCATAGTTGACAAAATGCTTTTTTTTTGGAAACCATTCATATTTGATCTTATCTGCAGTATTTATTTTTTTATTCAGTAATTATTGAAATCAAATTGATATAATTGTTGTTTATATCAATGTTGTATTATTAATATTTTTATAAATATTCTACAATTAAAGTAGTTACCTTCTATGAGCTGGACATCTTACAAGGCCTTTTTATAGTAGACTTTATACTAGTGTAACGACAAAAACTATTATATTTGCTATTAATTGTGTTTTTTCATAATGGGAGGAAAATAAAAAAAGAATGCAAGTCATTCTATTGAGATGCAATTCTATATGGTAGGAAGTCATGTCTGTGCTAATTATTTGAAATTATTCTGATAATGATATGGTTAAAGAACAAGTGGATATTTAAATTTAGGAACCTGACTTCATTAAAGTTCTTTTACATTTTGAAATACTAAATGAAATTGTTACTCATTCAAGAAAGTGTCCCAAATTTGCCAATTGAGATTTGCAGTTCTTTATTGAGGAACTAGTTTAGTTGCTCTGCATTAAATTTTTTCTCAAGTAGTGGGCATACATAGGTATTGTATAGTTTTAAAGATATAATTGAATTCCAATTTATAAAAGTTATTTTAATAATACCAAGTATCTTTTTAGTTTTTAATTCTACATTATTTATTTGATCAGACCACTTAAATTAATTATTAAAATAATTAAATAATAAAGAGTAGTCTAAAACATCGAAAACATTATAAAACCTCATTCTTTTGCATTTATTTATATTAGAATCTATCCTCCAAAGTTGAGACCAATGTAGTAAGACATCTATATCCTTTTGGACTTGACCTAGATCAGATAACTTTTTAATTTTTATAATAATTAAGTGTCATCAGCCAATAACCTGCAGAAGTTAGATAAAAACTCATGTATATCATTAATAAAAATTAAAAACAAAAGTCAAAAGATAACTGAGCCCTGAGAAACTCTACTTAGTACATCTATCTGATTAAAAGAGGTGTCACCAAGAGCAGCATTTTGTTTTTTATTGCTTAAATCAACCCATAAATTTTTTTATTTTTTTTTTGCACCATGCCTTTTTCTGATGATTTTGATGATATTTTTAATACAGGCTTGAATTAATTTTAAAAAAAAAACTTTACTCTAAATTTTAGAGCCTGAATCCTTCTGGTTTCAGAGATATTAATACTCAGTTCCAATCTTTTTTTTAATTTTTTTCAAGTGTTATTTATCTTTTAAGCTAATTGCATAACACAAAATTGCAGAATCATATCTTTAGACATCTCAAGATAAACATTTTTTTGTATCCTGTATCATTTTTGGATTCCTCTCCCTCAAAAATAGTTAGGCAAAAAAAAAAAAAACTGGCAAAAAAAGGTTTTATATAAAAGAACAACTCAAAAAAAAAAAAGAAGAAGACTGACTTGGTTGTAACATTTTAAAATGCTTGTAGTTTGTAGCACTAAAAAATAACACTTATACTATATCTTATACTATATACTTGCACTATATCAGACAATCATCAGAAAGACAAAGTGTATATACACATGAACCACAGGTTTATTCAGTTATTTGTATCTGACACAACATATCTAGATTATTGTTAGCAAGAGTTTAGTTACTAACACTTGTACTCTAATGGATATGGCTTTTGTTACTTTGTCAAATAAAGGTAATTGAGAAATGTTACTTTGTCAAACAAACTCAATGTTGACTTTATTGAGCATCATTAGGCTATTTTAAATTTAATTTGTATTAATGCATAAACTTTACATTTAATTCTTGGTTTTCACCACAAATTTTAGGTGCTAACAGTATATACCATTCGTCATCACAAAATCATTCAAAGTACTTTTTACTATTTATTTATTTATTTTACTTATTTTACTTTTATTTATTTTATTTATTTATTTATTTTACTTATTATTATTCAAAGTACTTTTTACTATTTATTTATTTTTTTAATGCAAAAAAATTATAGCTTGTGTCATTTCCTTTGTAAATTTTGAAGAATATTAGCAAAATAGTTAACAATTGATAAAAAGTGTTGAAACATGACAAGTTTACATATTTCCAACTTTAATAGTTATTAAATTTTCATTTTAATAAACACAGTCAATAAACTCAGTCAATAAAGTCAGTCAATAAAGTTGTTAAAATTGATTTTTGGGTATTTTAGTACACTTGTTCTGTGTGATATTTTTTTGTAGCATAGTATATCACTTTCATTAAGTTAGATGATTAATTGTTTTTCTGTAATATAAAGTTTACTGCTTACTTAATGTTTTCTTTGAAAAGCTATTTAATAAAGGTCCTACAACATTAGTTTATAACTGATAAGTTTTTGCATTTTTAGTGCATAATTATTTAAGCTTAAAATTAATTGTACATTTTTTTATTAGTTGTAAAATTATCTTTTACATTTAGCTCTTTGATCCAACTATGAAAAAAAAGAAAAAGAAAAAGGTTCCCATCAACCTAGATGATCTAGATACTCCTGAACCTGCTGCTCCAATAGAACAACCAAAAGTAGAAGAAAATTTAGACATTGAAAAACGAAAAACTGAGAAGTCAGTTATTACAGAAGATCTTGACGTTGATGACTTTTCAAGCTCAAAAAAGAAGAAAAAAAAGAAAAGAGGCCAGGCTCTTTTTGAAATTGATTCATTGGGTGAAGCACTGCCTGTAAGTAACTTAATCTATCTCTTCTTATCTTGTCTTTCTTTTTTTTAGTTGATAAAATTTGTAATTTTTTTAATTAGATTTTTAGCATAGGCTAATTTCTTATTAAAAAATTATAATTAAAAAGAAACACAGTAAGTTTTGAATTATTTAAACTTATAAAAAGTTTATCTGACAAAAAATTTTATCATTCCTTTTTTTTTTTTTTTTTTGTGTTATAAATTGTTTACCTTTTCTCTCTAACTTCTATTTAGCTTCTAATAGTCAAGTTTTAAGAAATTTAACTATTTTAATGAGTTACCTCTAAAGTCTAAAAGTTAAAAAAATATTCACATAGTTAATTTAATTAAAAAAATAATCAAAAATAACAAAATTAAATCTTGAACACAAAAAAAATTTTGCAAGACACAGTCTAACTCATCTTTGATAAGAACATCAAATGTATTTTTTGGCTCCTTCTCGATTAAGTTTTGAAATGTTGGGAAAATGACAGTGTAAGATTATTATTTCAAAGAGAGTTAATTTGTCTGGTTGTTGATCAACTGTTTCAAAGCAATTTTATAATTAGTTTTCAAAGCACACTTAACTTAATATATTCAAATGCAATAGTTAATTTAAATAATAATATCATCAAAATATAATAATTAATCTATATTTCTTATATTTCTATATTTTTCTGCAAATTCTGCATAAAAATTTCAATAAAAACTTTCTTTTGCTTTGTTTATATAAAAAACATGTTTTTTTTTTGATTAACAAATAAAAATACTTTTGCAATTAAATAAAGTATTGTTTTCAAGCTTGTAATTAATAAATTAGGAAATCTGAGTATAAATAAATAATATAAATTGAATTATAATAGAAACCCATTTCTATAAAATAATGACAAAAAATATTTATAATAATTAGTATACTTATTATCAATTATAAAAATAACAGTTAAATATAACAATAATATATTTTAATATGTTAATGAAATCTCCCCGAAAAAGAGCACAAAAAGCAAAAATTTATTTTAGGCTGCTTAACTGCATTTAAACAAGACAGAATAAAATAATAACTTTTACTGATATAATCAATATTTACTTAAAACATATTTTAATGTCATATTAGTTGTATTACTAAAAGGACATTTAAAAATGTTTAAATATATAAATAGTTATGTTATTTAATATATAAACATTATTATATTATTAATTATTAATATTTATTAGTTATTATTTGTGTTATTTAAAATGCAATAATTCAGCTATATACAATTAGCAAAATTAGTTAGACAAGAAAGTCAACAGTATATTAACAATGTTGCAAATATTCTAGTACATTATTTTCTCATATCACAGAGTTTTGCTCACTTTTAGTTTACGCTCTTCAAGTGATTCATTTTTAAAGACAATTTTGACAGCGCTTGCAAACACAGTAATTAGAATGTTTTGTCTTGGCTTTTTTTTTACTCTCTTTAAAAGTGTTCTGTAAACATTACTTTGTATTAGTTCTTTAAAAATTCTTCTTATTTAGCAAATTTCTGTAAGCTGGTAATGACTTGTATAATTCAAACAACTCAGAAACCTGTCATCAAGCATCACAACAAAGTTAAAATTTTAGTTTGACTTGCTATTTAATTAAATAGCAAGTGAATAAAATTCAAGTTTGATGATGCAGAATGGATAAATTAGTTATTAAATTTAAAATTAGGTTTAACAATAATTTTAACTTATTATATTACAAAATCAGGCCCACAGTCAAAATGTTTATAGGGATACAAAAATGTCTTTTTAAACACAAAACACAAAAATACCCATTTTTATATCTACAGTATTTTTATATTTTGCGCATTTATTGTTTTTAAAGTTTTATATATTAATAAAAACCAATTTATTTTTAGAGTGTTGGATCAGATGTGCAAACAGATGGTAAAGTTTGTTGCTAATATATTTTTTATTATAAACTTGATTTATTATATTATTTTTTAAGTCATTTAGTTTATTGTTTGTTTTTCTATAATATTTTTAAAAAGTCTATTAAATTTTTGAAATTTGCAATTTTTGTTTTATTCAAAGACAAAAATTGTTTTGCTTTGAAAAAATTTTATTTGGTTAAAAGTGATTGAGAATTTTTGAAATCTGGAAATATTTCTAGTCTTCAAATTCTCTGTTAATCAAAAACCGCATAAACTGTTTTTATAAAAGGGTCAATTTAGCATATTACCAAAACTCATTCTCGATTGACTCATCATTTATCTTTTTAAGTCTTCTGTCAACTGTTTCTTTGCTGTATAACTCTATTCTTTTTTTCTAGTAACTCCCAACTTAATAGTGGTTGCTTGCAGCCTTGTTGGGAGTGAATCAGAATTAAAAAAAAAAAAGGTTACTAAAAGTCCAAAAATCAGCCAATAAAAGATTATGTTAAAGATTTTTGTTTTGATCATTGATATAAACAATAAAATCCAATTTTTGAAGGTGATGAGGTGCAAGGTCTCTAAAGTTGAAGCTGATGAGGTGCAAGGTTTCTAAAGTTGAAGGTGATGAGGTGCAAGGTTTCTAAAATTGAAGCTGATGAGGTGCAAGGTTTCTAAAGTTGAAGGTGATGAGATGCAAGGTTTCTAAAGTTGAAGGTGATGAGGTGCAAGGTTTCTAAAGTTATGAAAATAAAACTGGTACTTAGTATTATATAATTAGATTCTAAACAAAAAGTAAAAAGAGAATTACATTTAGGTGATTAAGAATTATACCCTTAAACATTACTAGGGAAAATTATATACTTTTAACCACCTGAACTCGTGAAATAGATACTTTAAAATCAGGAGAAATTTAGGGAATATTCTGGAAAAATTCATTTCCAAAACTGCCATAAACCATTATTGAACCTTGGAGTCTTTTCAGAATAATAAAAACAATTTTGGTATTTTGCGCAATGAGTTTTTTTCTATGAGAATTTTAATGGATTTTTCATGTTTTCTATTTGAAAATGTTTTTTTGCTTCTCTGCGTGCTGCATTTTAATTTGCGCTTACAATATTTGTTGCATGTTTTATACTGTTTTTTCGAATAAAACTTTTTTCATTCTAAAAAATTTTTTAATAAACTTTTTAAAGTGCAGTTTAAAAATTTGTCTCACTATTAAATGCTTTTCTATTTTAGAAGATGCTGCCGCAAAGCAAATTGCTGAAGATGAATTGCGTGAATACACTTATGATGAAGTAATTTCTTTTTTTAATTTTTATGTTTTAACAATTGTATATTACATTCAACCATGCTGAAACTAAAGAATTTATTTTGCTTTCATTGATGTTTATGATTGTATTAACAAAATAATTTATTATATATTTATATATTTATTACAAAATATTTTATTTTGTTTTGGTTTCAGCTTTTAAAGCGTGTATTTGACATAATGCGTGCTAAAAATCCAAACATGATTGAAGGTGGCAAACGAAAGTTTGTAATGAAACCTCCCCAAGTTGTTCGTGTTGGAACAAAAAAAACTTCATTTGTGAACTTCACTGACATTTGTAAAATTCTCCATAGACAACCTAAACATCTGCTTGCTTTCTTATTGGCAGAATTAGGGACAAGGTATTTTAGTAATTAAATAATATGTAATCATGGTTTTAAATTAATAACAATATAATAATTTATTATTAATAATAAATTCATTCAACAGATTTGTTATCCATCAACAGTACATATTGTACTGTTGATGGAACAAATCATAATATTAAAGTTTAACATTTCATTTAGTGGTACTGTTGACGGAACAAATCAGTTAATTATAAAAGGAAGATTTCAACAAAAACACATAGAAAATGTTCTTAGACGATATATAAGTAAGTTGGTTGCATTTTTGTTGTCGTTGCTTTAGTATTTATTTCTTTTTAAAAACTTTTAGAATTAAAAATTTGCAAACCAAATGGTTTGTAGAACTTTAGTTTGTCTATATTATCTATTTAGTTTTAATAATCTAACAATAAATGTTCTTGCATTCATTTTCACATATTAGTATATAACCTATTTTTATGAAGGTAAATAACGCAAATATTATACAAGGTTTTTTTTCACAGAATGTTTTTTTTCTTATTGTGCTTTTTGATATTATAATTTTTTTGATATTAGATAACAACTGTAGGTTTGCAAATTTCCCTAATATCAAATAGTTTTATTTTTCAAGAAATTTATTATCTTAAACAGTTTTTAAAACATAAATTGTTAAGTAAGCAAGATTAAAATTATTTTCAAAAGTTAAAAAAATATATATTAAAGCCATGAAAATATTTAATTGCAAGTAGAACACTTTTTAAAACCCTGAAAAAAACAATAATATAAAACTAGCTAAACGATTTTTTGGCCTTGAGCATTACGTCAAATAAAAGAAATCCTTGTAATTAAACCCAGTATTCAATCTCCCAGTGGTTCTCTGTAATTGAACCCAGGTTCAACAGGTACAATGAACACACGTTACGATTTTTTATGAAGCTTTATTTTTTACAACTTTTTTTTTACTTTTAATAAAGTTATAAAATCTCTTCAGTAAATGGTTGCTACCTCTATATGAATAAAATCTGTGGATTAATATTGGCAAACATAATTAAAGATCTAACAAGGGAAAGGGTATAAAAAGAAAACAGTTTTATGAAACCAAAACTAAAGGGTTACTTAGCATTGTTTCTTTGTATTGCTGCTATGGTTTTTTTTTTTAAGTTTTGCACCCTGTTTAAAAATTTAAAAGGTTTTGATTATTTCTAATTAATAAAAGAATTACAAGCTTGATTAAAGGAAAACATTCTCTGCAACTTGCCTGCTAACCAACTGTTGTTTCTACATTCACAACAATCTTGGTTGTATTTTTTTTAGCTGCAATATAGTTAATACCAGGAGACAGGAATTTATAAATAGATATTGTACACAGTGTTGTTTTGGGTTTGATATTATACGTTTGGAATACGGAACGCGTATCCTTTATTCTGAACGAAAACCTCACTAAATGTGTAGTATGACATCAGTTTTGGTTTATTTAAAAAAATTTAGTTAAATTCAAAAAAAATAGTGGAGTTATTAAAATTTATTTTTTAATCATTCTTGTGTCAACATTAGTTACAAATTTGATTGTGTATTATTGTATAGAATGTTGTTCCCAGTGGGCGCAGGACTTAAATGAGACGTCTAAAACGTTTTAAAAAAGTTCTAAAGACTTTTTTACTGCCCTTGCCGACTGGGTTTTTATTATTTAATATTGTACAGTTTTGCTTAGGTCATTCTAGTTTCTTAGTTACAACGATTTTAAGTATAGAGATAATATATATGTTGAACCTATATAAAAATGCGCTAAGTCACAAAAATAAAAACTTTGAATTAGTTCCGTTACCACATTCTATATACTAAAATCATCTATTTAAATATTATACCAATTGAATTTTTTTTGTTCTAAAATTGGATAAAGAAAATATCTATTTCTTATCTGTTTATGCGCAACTAAGAGTAGTTCAATTTTTCGTCGTTTTTTCCAATTCACTTCTTGATTCATTTGTAAATGGGCTCTCCCCACACACAAATGCAGCATTTGACGTACACAGATGACGTCATACTAAAACATGTAGTTGATATGGGCTTCAGTACATACATCAATTGACTATCTAGGTAGAACATGCAAGAAGATCCGCTACATTGACTTTTTATAGACATAGACAAAAGTTAAGGCGTACAATTTACGAAATTTAAGCGCACAAAGTATATTAGGAAATTGTGTCCTTAGATGCACATGTGTGTGTGTGTATATATATATTTATATATATATATATATATATATATATATATGTATATATATATATATATATATATATATATATATATATATATATACACATAATTGATTGATTGATATTGATTAGAACAAAGTACATGTTCTAAAGGACACGAAGGCCCATACAAAGATGGACACTAACAACGTGCCCAAAGATATTTAAAAATATCGCTACAAAAAAAAAACTATAAAGAAACAAATAGTTGTTCCTTTTACAATAGATATTTGTTAAAGTCGAAAGATTTAATTTTATTTTTGAACGTTAAAATGTTATTTGCATTTACAGCCTCCGAGGTCATATTGTAATACATAAATATACATACTTATATATATACACACATACAATTTCATGTTAAGATGAAAGGTTTTTATTTTATAAAGTTAATATTTTAAATTTATTGTTGTTTAGAGGAATATGTCACGTGTCACACCTGTCGCTCACCAGACACTATTTTACACAAAGAAACTCGTCTGTTCTTTTTGCAATGTGAAACGTGTGGATCACGTTGCTCTGTACAAAGCATTAAATCTGGTTTCCAGGCCGTCACGACAAAGAGAGCACAGTTAAAAAATAAACAACAATAGATATTAATAAAATTATAACTTTGGCTCTAAGGCCAATATAAAAGTTTATATCTTTTGTAATCCCTATTCGAAAAACCTAAAATATCACAGAAATAAAATTTTTGTTGAGACAGTATTTTTATTATTTCCACTTTTTATTTCAAAAGTGTTATGAAAAATATAATTATAAAATCTTAACATTTGAAGCGTATTTTACCTAAAAAATATCAAGCCCTATGTTTGTTGCTTAGGGCTTGATATCTTAAAGGATTACCTAGAGCATTTTGATTCGTAAACAAATTTAAATTTTGTTTTGAGAAAGTATCGCGTTTTGTATTTTCAAAACACAATTTAAAATAAGATATTTTGAAATAGTTTTGCATATATTTATGTATCCAATACTCACGAAATAGTTTTATCAAGGTTTTTTTTTTTTTATGTATGTTTAAGAACTTATCATAAGAAATATCTAATTTCTTAATTAGATCCTTGGACTGTTATCTAATTTCTTAAGTAGATCCTTGGACAATTATCTAATTTCTTAAGTAGATCCTTGGACAATTATCTAATTTCTTAAGTAGATCCTTGGACAATTATCTAATTTAATAATTCATCCAGAGGCAAATCAAATCTTTTATTTACTATACTTGAAGCTTTTTTATGAATTCTATTAGTTAGTTTGTAATCTTTTTTTTAACAAAACATCCAATTTAGAAGACAAAGAAATGTTAGACAATATAAAGTTTTCAACAGCAAAATCAATTTTTCATGACAAAAAAATTGTCGTGCGTGAAAGAGCGAAACATTTACCATTAACTTCACTGCATAACTGATTAATGTGTTCCTCAAAGTTTAGATCTTTATCAATTGTTATACCAAGTAGTTTCACTTTATTGGAGGCAAAACCAACATTAAACCTATTTTTATCGATAGATTTTTTGTGGTTTTAAGCTAACTAAAAGAAATTTAAACTTATCTCGATTAACGAACATAAAGTTTAATGAAAACCTATTATTAGTATTTGTTGCTTCTTTTTGAAAACGAAAAATAACTTTCTCAAAGCTATAATCCAAGTTCCTTATCTTTAATGTATAATAAATTATTTGTAAAGATATGAAACAAAACGGGTCTAAGGATTAACTCTTGAGACACTTTAGATAATATATCAAACATCCACACCACCCGGTTTGAGGCAGAAGACCCACAAATATAAGATAGCAAGAGATTAAAACTTTCTTTAGAAAAACCATAGACGTCTAATTAGCAATCTGTAAGTCATGCAGTATAAAGTAGATTTTGGGAGGTCCATTAAAATTAATCCAAAAATACTTCCATTTTTAATGTATTCATGCCACTTATTAAGTAACAAAAAAAAATGCTAATTTAATTTCTTTATATAAAAGTGCTGTATTTTTCAATTTAGAGAAATAACTATGTAAATGTTTAGAGACAACGTTCTTCATGTTTTATTCATCACAAAGTTCATTATTTGTACACGAAAATTATTAAATTATTTAAAAGTATTTAAAAAAAAGTTGATTTCCTTCTGGAAAAAACAAGTGCAGCTCCACAAAATGTTGACCAAGCTGTATTTTGCTATCAATATTTCGTGGCGAATTCTTTGTTGTCGATCACAGCCTTGCATCTTCGAGGCATAGATTCGATCAGGTGATGAATGAAACTTTGTGGAATCGCTGCTCAGGCCTTTTTGATTTAATCAAACAGTTGATCCTTATTACGAACACCTTCACGATTAATTCTGCGGTTGACAATCTCCCACAGGTTCTCTATAGGGTTGAGATCCGGAGATTGAGCCGGCCAATTCATCAACGAAAGGTGGTTGTCTTGAAACCACTGCTTGACTACTTTTGCAGTGTCTTTCGGTTCGTTGTCTTGCTGAAAAACCCATTTTATTGGCATATTCCGTTTAGCATGAGGTAACATAACATCTTTCTGGATTTTTTTATACATGAAACGGTCCATTATTCCATCGTTTCAATGTATTGGATGTAGACCGTTAGCAGAAAAACATCCCCAGACCATTACATTGCCTTCACCATGCTTCACAGTCTTATGGCAGTAACTTAAATTCAGGTGTTTTCTGGCCGGTCGGCGTACACGGTAAATGCCATCGCTCCCAATGATGTTGAACTTCGATTCATCACTGAACAGGACAGTTCGCTATTTCTGTACATTCCAGTCAATATGAGAAGGAGCAAAAAGGAGTCTTTTCTTCTGGTTCTTAGTGAAATCAGCGGTTTCTTTGCAGGGTGTCGAGAAAACAATCTGGCCTTAACAGCACGTCGTCTAATTGTTCGGTCCAATACAGGCAGCTCTAATTGCTTTTGTATCTCAACTGATGATATCCAGGGATCCTTCTTTACGGATCTGACGATCATAGAATCCTCTCTAGAAGTAGTGGAACGCGGTCTTTCACCTTCTTTATCTGCTCCCAACTTCCCCGTAGAACGATAATTGGAACATAGTCTTGATACGGTCCATTTTTTCACGCGATATTTATCACAAATACTTTTTTGTGACATTCTACTTAAGTAACCGCCAATAACTTTCTTTCTTAGTTCCAATCCAAGACTGTCGGGTGCCATTTTTGCACTTGAAGTCATAAAAATAATAAAAATAAAAAATAATCGCGCTTCTCAAGGCTTACCGTGTTACATTTACCTTGTCCTGATGCGTCTGGATGCTTCTGAATGTTTCTGGATACTTTTGGATGCTTATGGATGCTTCCAGATGCTTCTTCTATAAACTTCTGGAAGCTTTTTTATGCTTCTGGAAACTTCTGGATACTTCCTTTAGTCATTAAAAAACTTCCTTGACGTTGACACAGACCAGACTTAAGAAAATAAAACAAACCAAAAAAGTTGCACTTGTTTTCTCCGCTGCAAAATGGCACTTGTCAACGAAATTCTGCCTGTGTGCTGTCACCTGTCAGCTGATTGCTCATGTCATGGCATGCTATGACTCCAGACTCCTTAACTGTTTGCTATGGTAGTATAGTTCGTTTCGTTTTTAAGACATGTAAAATTGGGAACACTTTTTAGCATTGTTCAATATTGGTTGCAAATGTTTTGTCCAATACTGTAGTTCGACTTGTTATAACTTTAATGTCTTCGATTTATTATAGCTTTAATGTCTTCGAAACTGCAAATAATATACTCAATGACGCTGATACGCAAACTTTTCAAATGAATAATCTTGATTCTCGATATTTTAAAACTGAAACTTTTAAAACTGAACTTGAAACTATTAAAAATAATTTTACAGTAATTCACATAAATATAAGAAGCATAAATAAAAATTTTAACAAACTTCCTAATTGATTGTAATTATTTATTCAGTATAATTTGTCTAACAGAAACTTGGTGTTCTGACGAATCAATCGAAAATAACTCTAATCTACAAATTCCCAATTATAAATTAATATCTTCTGAAAGAAAAACATGCAAAAAGGGAGGAGGGATTGCAACTTATGTTCGGAATGATCCAGCAATAAAAGTAAGAAAAGACCACTCCATTTCTAATGTCGATAGTGAGATCTTTACAATAGAAATCATAAACTCCAAGTTTAAAAATAATATAGTTTCTATCTGTTATAGACCACCTGAAGGTAATATCAAAACTTTCTCTAAATATCTAGAAGGAATTTTTCTAAAAAATTAATAAAGAACAAAAAAAGTTATTCTGTATTGAGGACCTTAACATAGGTTGTTTAAAATACAATGAGTTGCCGATTACTAAATTATTTTTGACAACATGTTTCAACATTGTATTTTACCAATTATTAATAAACCCACACGGGTAACCTCAAACTCTATTTCTGCCATAGATAATATACTAACAAACTTATTTCTAGATACCTCTTTAAAAGCAGGAATAGTAAAAATTGATATTACAGATCATTTTCCAATTTACTTTACATTAACAAATGATATAAGAATAAAAAATGATCTGAAAAAAATAATTTATAAAAAAAAAAAATAAACTTTCTATTCAAAATTTTAAAGACACACTATCGGCAGTAGATTGGGTTAAAGTGTATCAAGAATGTAACCTTGGGAACACAAACTCTGCATATAATACGTTTACAGGTATTTTTCTAAAGCATTATAATAACCATTTTCCGATCAAAGAAAAAGAAATCAAAGTAAAATATTTGAGCTGTCCATGGATCACCAGCGGTATTAAAAAATCTTCAAAAACAAAACAAAAACTATACGTTAAATATTTGAAAAACAGAAATGAGATTAACCTATCTACTTATAAACAATACAAAAATCTTTTAGAAAAAATCTAAAAACATTTAAAAAAAATTTACATATCTAAATTACTTCAAAAAACAAATGGAGACATCAAAAAAACAAAGAACATCATAAAAGAAATAATCGCGAAAAAAAAACAAAAAAACAATTAGCTTACCAGATAGAATTATTATGAATGAAACCAAACACGATGATAAGAACTCAATTGCCGAATACTTCAACCATTTCTTCGTAAACATTGGCCCAAACATGGCGTCTAAAATTTTAACTCCAGATGACTCCTTTGAAAATTATCTAAAAGATCTAAATAGCGAACTAATTTTCAACGAATTAAGTTATGAAGAACTCGAAAATGCAAAATACTCTTTAAAAAATAAACAAAGCACCAGGAATTGATGAAATTTGTAGCAATGTAGTAATGAGTATTTTTCCAATAATAAAAAACCCCCTCTTCGAAATATTTAAATCTTCAATTATAATAATAGCCGTTCCAGAGAAATTAAAAATTGCAAAAATTGTACTAATATATACAACTGGACATCCATATTTACTAAATTGACCAATCTTAATCCTTCCTGTATTCTCAAAACTTCTCGAGCAAATAATTTATAATAAACTAAACAAATACTTAACAAACAACAATATCTTAAATGAAAAACAATTTGGCTTTCAAAAGCATCATGCAACTGAACATGCAATCATAGATCTTGTAAATGGCATCAATTACTCATTTGATAAAATGAATTCGCTCTAGGAATTTTTATAGATCAATCGAAAGCATTCGATATTGTTGATCATGAAATCCTGCTCAGGATAATATAAAAATAAGGCGTAAAAAATGTTGCATTACT